GAAGAAGAAGAAGAAGAAGAAGAAGAAGAAGAAGAAGAAGAAGAAGCGATCGCTGGAACAAGGGCTTTATTCGCCTGACGTTTCGGATTCTCACTTGAACCCATCAGAGGCAGTGGCAGCAACGTGCGACTCGTGTACAGGAAGTAGCAGTGTTTATAGGATTCAGTCGCTATGCTACCGCATGCCTATAGTAATTAGGGGAGCGCGGCTAATTACTATAGTCTGCGCCTACCGCGGGACCGACGCAACCAAGGCAGCTTTCTTTCGTCATCGTCGCTTGGTACAGAGACTGTAGGGGATGCAAAATATATGGATGTATCGTAAGACCAAAGAGATACCAGGACAAGCGGACCGCAATGACAATTCTTTGCGTTAAGCAGGACGGTCTACGGCGTCAAAAACAAAAGAACTGCGCCGCTGTTCAGCTCCAGCGAAACAACATGCCCGAGGGAGAAATCTCAGATTCCGAAGCACTGAGCTGAACGCTTCAAAAGCGTCTTCAATCGACCCTTCCCAAGCTCCGACAATACCAGTAATAAGCCTCCAGAGGTGCAAATGAGAATTGACCTGGGCCTTCCGCCTTCCCTCCACCATCCAGAAATAGTCGAAGCAGCGCATCAATTCTCCAGTGAGAAGGCACCGGGAGACGACGCAGCCCGAAGTACGGCGGCCCTCGATTGATGGACAAGCTCACCTCATCCTTCCAGATGTGGTGGCAAGGACAGGTCTCTCGGGGCTTAAAAGATACGACTATCGTCCACATTACAAGTACAAGGGGAAGCGTAGTCTCCGATAAACAAAGAGGCATTTCTATTCTCAGCATTGAGGTGAAAATTGGCGCCCGCATCCTCCTCACTCGCCTCAAGATGCACCTGGAACAAAGACTCCTGCCGGAAAACGAATGGGGATTCCGAACCGCGGAACCACCGGCAGTTTTCGCGGCCCTCCAGCTGCACGGAAAGTGACATGAAATTAACACCTAGCTCCACCCTACCTTTGTGGATCTGACAAGGACGTTTTATACCATGGTCCGCGATTGACTCTAGAGGGTCATGCCGAAACTCTAATGTCCGGAACAATGGAGTTGTGTACCCGTTCCTGCCCTCTTCAGCCCTGCGTTCCCCGCCACGATGATTGGGGTCTGCCACGAGGAAAACCATAAAATCACCTCTTACAGGGCCAGTGGCTTTCGACTACGCCAGCTTCAAATTGACCATAAATACAGAGGAGACAGTAGTGACGCATCGGCCAGCATCGACAGGCACATTACACCAGGAATCAACGTAAATGGAACTCGACTCACACCAAGGAAAAGATTCGCCTACACAGGCAGTACCGTCTCAGGCAGCATCAAGATTGACAATGAAATAGCGCACCGGATCTCCGAAGTCAACCAGCCCTTCAGCCGCCTGTAGGTCATATTTTAGAGTCGCAGCGACCGTCGCCTCAACAGAAAAGTCAATATGTACGGGACGGTGGACCTGACAAGGTTACTATACAGACCGTCTACCTCAACCAAGCCAGGACGCTCGACCACTTCCACCTCGGCTGCCTCCTGAGAATCCTAGAGTTAGGTGGTAGGACAGACCCCTGGCTCGGAAGTCTTGGAACGGACCGAAATGCTCAGCATCCATGTCATGTTCAGGCAACTACGACTGCGCCGGAGCGGCCAGCTGGTAGGGATGGATGACGAACGCCTACCCGGACGACTCTTCTATGAGATGTCGTTACGGGTGCTCGCCGATAAGGATAGCATAGGTGAGGGTATAAGGTCACACTGCAGTCCTCGAAGATCTACAAATCCGAAGACCTGGGGGGACCTCGCCCAGGATTGACCGGCCTAGATAACAGCGGTGAGGACTGGAACAATAACCCACGAAACCAACCGGTTCACCGCTGTTAAAGCCAAAAGAGTGGATCGCAAGTTTCAAGCGCCGCGGCCCCACAACCACAAGATCCAATCCCTCCGTCATGTTTCCGCTGTCAACGGACATTCTGCGCGCGAATCAGCCTCGTTAGGTTTTCCTGAATCATCACAACACGGCAACTCCACCCATCACTTTCGCCGTCATCCTACCGCAGTCCCAGTAGCGGCAGTCACTACCACCGGTGAGTACTCCCGACGTCCACCATCGATAGCACTACCCCGCCACGGCCACCATCTCCGCCCACACCAACCGTGAGGGTACTCCCGACGTCGTAGAGCAACCCCTCCGATCGTTCTCTGCATCAGAAATTACGATCCGATCCCAAGCTGCCCCTACTGCGATCTCACTCCCACATTTGGCCGGTTGGTCCCTTGAGAATCCATCGCACTGAGGCCGGTGAACTAGTATCTGGAGCCCCGACGTACACCCGTCATAAGCATCGCCTGTCCACAATGTCCCAAGACACTCAGACAGCGTGCGGGTCTTCTTGGTCACATGCACACCCTCAATAGCGGAATTCAGTGCAATGTCGACAGGCCAAACCCACCTCGTACATATGAAAACTCACCCACCACCATCATCGTCACCAGTAACAGGATTGCTTACACCACCAAATCAGCAGCTACCAACCTCGCCTGCCCATACTGTCACCACACGTTTATACCACTAACTGGCCTAGTCGGTCACTTGCCAATCTACCGCGCTGAGACCGGTGGACCACTGCCTGGGCCATAACCGAACCCATCCCACACCACCTGAGACACGGAGAGACCATGCACCTTCCACGTCAGCAGAAGGTGTTTTCTTTGGTGTAGCCTGGTACCCGACCATTTCATGTGCGGCACACGCAGACGGACTGTCAGCCACTGGTTAACAGGCTCGAACATTCGGCTGGTGCATTGGATAGGGAAGATTCAGTGGAATCGACGCCGGGGAACCCCTCTTCACGACAAAACAACGCATTCCACATCTCAACAAATCTGACGCGCCCAAGTCACGACGGGCTAAAAGTCGTAGCTAGGCAACTCGGTCCGTGCCGTAAGTACTGTGGTGGAATGATTGGCTGGCAGACTGAATCAGGCTCAATTGCTTCTCACTGATATCATGCATGTGAGACCCCAAACGACCCTTTGTACATGATGCGTGGACCAGGTCGTGTGATACGCGTCGACGGGCCGACTAGCTTTCTCAGGCAGTCTCTGAGCCCGCCTGCGAACCTAGGTGGGTGAAGAGTCGGCTGCAACTGTCCAAGGACACGCGAAGGAGTTGCAGATTATCTAACGGTTCTATAGCAAAGTGTGGAAGTAAAAACCCAAAAACTGATTCGACCCAAAAGAATTGCAGCACCATTGAAGACTGGATAACTTTTAGTGATGAAGGAATATGGACAGAATACAGGGCCAAAAGCGGTGGAAGCCAGCTACCAACCTTCCGACTTGGTGTTCTCCGGGCTGGAGTCCTCCGAATCAGAGATTATGTCTGGACTCCGGTCATGCCAGCTGGGCCTCTGCTCTCCGGCATCAGCAATTCCCGGTTCCGGTTTCACAGTAGGCGTCTCTGGATGACTGTACCGATCTTCAGCGTCAGTTCTGTGCCCCTCGTCTGTGCAGTCGTCCTGTAGCGCTTTGAGTGCTACCCCCGCAGCAGTGCGGTGGCACTGTCTTCGGTGCGGACTAGTCAAAATATTTGGGTGTGTGGTTTCGGTAGTTGGTTCTACTTTGACCGGTATATTTTGCAAAGTGTCCGGCTCTTCTTCCTCCTTTTCACGTTGTTCCAGTTGCCGCTGACGATCCATCGACCCCGACAGAAGCTTGTCCTTCTTTTTATTCCTCTTCTTTTCGGCGGTTAGGATGGATGGCAATTCAGAAAACACTTCCTCCGTCTTCCGCAAACTGGTTTCACTCTCCGCCTCCTCGTCTACAGGAGTCCCTTCGGGGAGTTGGTCATCGAAGAGTTGAATCTGCTTCTTCTTCTTCTTCCTCTTTTTAGGGGATTTCACAGTCTCCACTTCTGTTGCCGCCCTCTCCTCACCGTCAGTAAATTTTTTTCGTTTACCGCCAGTCAACGTCGAGCCACGTTCCAAAACTTTTAGGAGTTTGCCTCTGATTATGAGTCCCCCAGCTGCATGAATGATTTGTACAACCTCAAGGGCTACCTTGTCTTTGGGATAGACCAACACTTTGGCACCTCCTTCGTCGGTTAACTCCTCCTTACCGTCAGACGGTTTGGGCACGGTAATACTGATAGGACCATCCCCACAATCGTAACGGCAGGTAAGAAAATGCCGTTTTGATAGACTGACCGTGGCCTCTAGACGCAGGCCGATGGTCGGCCGAAAGACAGTAGCTAACGCTTCGGCCCGCACTAGGACACATGGCAGCTCTGGGGGAAGACGCGTCAGGCAAGTTCGACCATCCTTGCTGCCGCAGTATGCTCCGGCCAGATCCGCCGGTGGCACCAGTCGTAACGAGGACCTATCCACCTTCAGCAGAAGGCCATTAAGATCTGCAATGTACTTATTCAAGTGTGTCTTCACGTGTTCGTCGAAGGTCACACGAAGGTTGGCCAACTGTACTGGGTAGATTTTCACGGTAGTGGACCAAAATACTTTGTGCATGCCACAAGACGCCGGTAGGGTTGCGTCCTAATACACCTAAAACAGGAAGAAAGAGATGAGAACCAAGTGTATAAGTGTGCAGTAGCCGTTAACACCTTTTCAGTCACAAAAAGCAATTGAGTTAAACAGCAAATGTCTTCTGGTTGTATGAGTTCCGTACCCTTCATAGTTATATGGCAGTTAATAGACAAATTATCCTTTCGCTGCAGCTAAGCGGTTTAAGATATCCTCTAGCGGACACTAGACAGGTCTCAGTAGGTGAGTGTCCATATGCCTGACCATCCTAGTGGCATCGATACGAGACTCAGCTAAGAAAATGCGCACCTATATGATTTTCTCTATGCCGACATAGTTACGGGTGTGAATTATGAACAAGCTTTCCTTGGTAGATTGATGATTACGGTCAACCGAGTTTCACTTTAAATGTTAGAAGTCATATCGGCGTTTAACAACTGATACAGTAAGGCAAGTAATACTCGCACAAGAATTTTAAGAGGAGTTGGCTGCATGAGGCACGCGCAGCAACTGATGTTTAAACCTTGCCGGTAAAAAGGCTACATCTTTCAACCGGAAGTTTCGGGCGACGAGTGCACGCGATCGATAATCCACAAGGGAAGCCTTTCAAGGGTGCGCTGGGGGCCTCTTTTTTTCCCTTCGCTCCCAGTTATAGAGTAATCGCCATAACTAATTTGGCCCTGTTTTACTGCAAAGTAGATCCCGGCTTGTCATTGCCTACACAGAAAGAAATTTCCTTGGTGTTTGTGCGGGAGGTGCTACTGTGGCAGTCCTTAGGCTGTTGTACCACCTTCGTGGGCGGAGGAACCCCAAGGACGCCCGAACTACTCAGTCCAAATAAGACAGACATGGCGTTGCTGGATGAAGTGTGAAACGGCGGGTGAAAAAATAAGAATCTGTAAGGCCCCTTTGTACGCGGATGGTCTAGGTTTCTAAATTACCACTGACCATTGAAGCCAAAACCATCAGTCCTGATGGCAGATGGAAAAAGATCAAAGATTGGTTATCGCCGACCACTGTAGGAACCGAAAAAATTTTCAGCACGAAAGTCCTCTTGCTATAAACAGCTGTTTGGATTCAACTGATACCTTGTTGCGAACAGGTGGTAGGCTCAAGCAACTGGCATGTGGCACACAAGGAACCCCCAGGAGTATGGCTTACAGACTGCAAGTCAATGTTAGATGAAGAATCGGCTGTCCGAACACTGCTTCGAAGGCCATGAGTAATCGCCCACATGAATTCCGTTGGTTAAAAGTTTAAATATTCGAAAATGGCTGGCACAGGAATCAAACAGCGTTAATCCAAACCCCGAATCATGCGCAAAGTACGAAACGTTATTTTACTACGCTCGTTCGCACTGAAGACTTAAAGGTTACAACCGGAAGTCCGGATCTCAGTAAGGCCTATCATAAGGAGGGAGATATGAGCTAGCCGCTATGAACTTTCCAAACTGACTTTAGGACCAAAAGCATGCAAATAGATGTCGGGGCGCAAACCAGTCTGAGTGAATTGGTTTTTCTGACCATGATCACTGACGAATCAATCTTATCAAGTACTAGGCGCCCCGTTAGTGGCGGGCAAGAATTACTACGTTCAAGGGCGATCAGGAATATGACATCATTTCCCCCAAGACAGTGCGACTGTGCACCCTTTACATATGATTACGATCAGCCTCCCCAACGGAACACTTTCGGTTAGCTTTTAAATAAGTACATAAAGTCACTTGCGGACAGCAGATGAATATTGAACACGGTAGTTGCTTATCTTGTTTGGCCTCTTTTGAGCACCAGCGATTGCTAATTGCTAAACTTGACTGCTCACTGGTATTTGACTAGGAAGTGGATCTGCAAAGGAAGTTGATGTTAGTTAATATAAATTGCGCAAAAATCACAACCACAAACGAACGCGAGCAGCCGTCACGACTAGCAACGGGTGAGAAATGGTTCACTTGACTTTTCCGAAACTGACGTTGGGGTTTCATGCTAATGATGCAAATTAAAACAAGGACTTGGTGCTGCTTCATCTTTTCTTTAAGTGACTGCGATGTGTCGTTAACATATCCAAGAGTCCCGCAATGCCTACACCATCTTCCGTGTTGACCCTACTCGAAACAGTTGTTATATATGGATTGATACTTAAACGCTGTAGGGGAAACCAATCGTCACAGCAGTGAAAATGGATAAAAGCCTAAGCGTACCCATAACGCGCTTTCAGGGCAAGGGCTGCCGATATTTTCTATGTTGATGGTTACCACGTACTTGCCTACAGAACGTGAACGCGCGCGAAAATTCATGCAAGATGGACGTAATATGAGCGATCAGTGCAACAAACACAATCTCCCCATCCCTGTCCCGGTTGAAGGCCGACACACGCGAGGTATTGGGCGGCCAACCGTGTTTAGCGCTCAAAATCTGCCTTCTCTATGTGCTATCCGTAACGAAAAACAAAACGTTCAGCTCATCAAAACCAACTATCCAGATGTATCTGTTTCTGGGTTAGAAAATTCGATTAAACACCGTGCGGGACGGGAATCTTTGAGTGAAGTAATTCCTTATCATATAAATTAGACATATAAAACATTTACTAAACATGTATATAAAGTAAACATATAAGCATATAAATATATCATATAAATCGAACAAGGCATGGTGACACTGTTCATATATCAGAACACACACGGGGTAGGCTAGAGGACCCACTGATGAGACGAACCCCTCGCAGCTGCGTCAGGCAGCGGCACAAGACCGGCGAAACACGCGTGTCTGGGCATTTAGTTAGTACCTGTGGTCAGTACGGTAAATCATCGCTCAATTGTATACTACTGGCTGCCTGCTAGCGGTTTGTGAATATTACGCGGTTATGCCGCATTAGCTGATGTATTTCAGCTCAAATATTCATATCAAATTTCGGACCGCGCCTGTAAAGGTCTGTTCCGAGAGAGTTACTCCAAATCCGCGCATGAATTTCCTTGGAAATTAAACAAGATAAGTTTTAGTTTCCGATGCCATCACTTCAAGCAGGAAGCCAATTCGCAAATGCACAATCTCCTTAACTGGCGGCCTCAAACTCGTTGGAAGGGGTGATTCACATGACTGCGTGTATCTCGAATCACGCACACCGAATGTCCTGTCCGCCGACATCTTAATGCTTTCCATAGAACGAAGGCTTTCTCAGGCAGCAATAAGCCGCGTTCGCTGGCAAAGTCGACCGATTCTATAAATAATGGTCTTCAGCACTTTCACGGAAGGCCTGCACCATCAAACTTAGCTTGTCCCAACAACGCTCCAGAAACAGTCCACTGCAGGCATCGATTACTCTCAAGGGAGATAAGTGTATCTGTCACATCTGCAGGGTAGGCGACCAGAAAGGACCGACTGCATACCCATACGGTCCCGAAACCGGAGAACGCGTAAAAAAGGCGTCACGCCGCGGCGGGTGGCAGAAAACTTCTCGCCCTTAGCGCGTGAATTTCAGTCGATTAAAATGCAATCTTCTTTTCTGGACTTGAAAGTTACTATATATTCATGGGAGAACTGAACATTAGTGATTGTTCTGCCTAGGATTGTTTAATAATATAAAAGTTATAAGTCGGAAGACTATCATTTTGAAACAGCAGCACTGCCGGCCTCAAATTCTGGTTTAATGTTCTCAAACCTAGTCTACTGGGGATCTGTTATTGATTGCATGAAATGCGATTTTCCTTTTTTGACTCTTAAAGACAAGCCCAATATAGCCAAGGTCCGTCTTTTTGCTGGGTTTTGCAAAGCCCTCTGCGGTTGATACTTAGAACGCTGATTGAGACTTTTTCAAATCAAATAGTCTCAATCTAAAGGGCTGATAACCACTTACTTTTCATGGTCCCTAAACTACTTTTACATCCGATACTAGACATATTCTGTCCCAGACATATATCTTTATCTGGCAGCAAGTATACTTGGTGACGAGAATATAGGAATACCAATTTTCACAGGAACCACCCTATCTTCCTTAACATATGAAATAGTGGAAGACTATTAAATTCGGAATTCAAATGCACAAAATCCCCTGAATGTCAAAATTTTTGAGTTTGCTCAGTTTTATTTTCACGTTTTCCGCAAAATCAAACTTTTATCTGCCACCCCACTTCCCAGCCACTTGTTTTCTATTTCAGTGAGCCAATTTCGCAGCTACTTTTTCACTCTAGCTTTAGTTTTTCAAGTTACTCTCATCCGTCCAGAAGTGCGCTTTGGTGCTCTTGAGAGAGAACTATGTATATTATGTAAGTATTCATGAAGGCGTATAAATGTAGTGCCGAAAACTATTTGACAAGAGTTGCCGAAACAGAAGTTATACATTTATCAAGCTAGCGAGCGGGCTGCGCAAATCTTTCTAGGACAGAAGATTGGAACTTGTCGGGACGCCTAAGTGTTAACTAGTTTTGGCTGCCGAAATTGCGCGCAAGTAGACCAAGAGTTGTTCATTAAAAGGCTGTCTATCAAAGGATAAGACAGAGCAAGTGGGCGACTCAGCACTCTTTCTAATACTAGTTCCTTGGAGAAAAGTCTGAATACAAACTCTAGGCATGTTATAATTGACAAGAAATTATCTGTTGATTGGTTAAATCTACCAGCCAAAAAGCACGTCCGCAAATCAACATAAAACACCGTCAGTTCGATTGGGTGAGGATCAGGAGTGGACGATGTATGCTGCAATGACCGTCTCCGTGGAGGATGCTGTCTAAAAACTAATTGCCCGAGAGTGTTTGAAATTGTCCAAAATTCAAAAACACCTTGAACCAACTGCAATGCTATGAGATTGGAACACTGCTTGTCTGTTAATTTTTTAAAATAGAGACACGAAGAGGCCGTAGTAGTCAGTGTGCGTGTTAAACAAGCGCCATTTTTCCTGTTGCCCTGTGTTAAATGCTGAGGTTGAACTATAAATCTGAGATTGCCTCCTGCCTTTGTAAAACATGCGTTGTCGGCGATAAATGTCCATTTTCAATGTTCATTGTCAGCAATGACAAGTGCTAGTTACCGGACATTTGAGGAGCTCAGCATTCTCGATGAAGTCCAATGGAGTTTAACCAGACTGGTAACAGGATGGATCTCATAATCCTGATGAAAACGGTTATCGAATCTCGATGTCCTTCTGTTGAGTTACGGATATCTAAGAAACAGCCCGATACAAACACTCCGTACTGTAAACGGTCAGGATTACTGAATTGCACTGCGGAGCTTTTAAGAGTTCACAGCCACAACGAACTTGTGAGTTCATCCACTTAAACTACGTGGGACTGTGGTCATGTTGGGAACATTAGTTCTTCTCCAACAAATTAGTTGAAAGTTTGAATGCTCCGCCTGCGGACGTCGTTATGACCCCATATGTAGAGGCTTTTAAGAAGAAATTGGAACAGTATAGCATGACGCACCGCAATGCCATCCGATGCCTTATCCTAACAATCTATCACTGTTCCTGATACTACTAAACACATTTAAGGAGAGTTCGCCTTTGAAATTTATTTATAGTCTGCAGCTCCTTTTCCTGAATTGCTGATATTTTTCTAGACGCTTGAAACCCATCAACATCGTAATAATTTCTCTGTGGCACAATAATGCTCGCACTAACTGTTATACCATTACTGCATCCACGGCCATCCACGAACAGAATCCCGACGCCCCACCGCCGATGCACAGTACAACTCTCATCACCAGTGCCACACTCCCGCGACGATGACGACGGCAGCCACTTCTCTTGGTCCTACCGCCAATGAGAACACCCCCAACGTCCCACCAAACTCCGCCCTCACCCGACCATCATCGCATCCACCACCGGCAAGTTAGACTCGCTCAGAACCTGCCCTTATTGAGATCTCACCTTCAGATCATGCACAATTTTGGTCAACCACTTGCAAGTGAATAGCGCTGAGATTGGTAAAAATTACTAGAGACGTCAACACAAACCTACCGGGTCCTTCGCAGCTGCCCACGCATATTAAGTCCTTGCATGGGTCCACTCGGTCGTGTGAGCATTCACGGAGTCGGAATGAACCGCAACGTGGACACCCAAACCGCAGTTTGTATACCTAACAATTATCTCATCCTTCGCGGTACTACCGAAATACCCCTCAGCAGTGTCGCTGGCACCGCCAATAAAACAAAAGTAACCCAACTACTATACCCATAGTGTCACCGCACATAATAAATAAACTAGTTTATTTAGCACCTACAGGAGTACGTGCATGGCGCGTATCGATCCGGCAAGTCACTTGCGAATCCATCGCACGAAGACGGGCGGGAGGGTGTCAGGAACACTAACATAAACTGTCGCAGCAGCCTCAACCGCCCGTGCTGCCCATGCACATTCAGTCATCACACGGACCCACTCGGCCACATGCATCGCCATGCAAATCTGCGGCAAATTACCGCAGACCAAACCATATCGTCGCTCATATTTCCACCAAACCATAGGTCACAAGCGAACCCGTCCCACACTTCCAACCACAGATACGGAATAGACACTCCCCAAGTAATTCGGAGGCATGTGACTAGCTCCTTCTCCACATAGCCTCTGCGCTATTCTAACGTATTTGAGAACCGAGCGGTCCAAACTCCATTGTGCGAAATCCGCGTATGCCCTTGGAAGGGGGTAGGTCGAACGTGAAACGCGAAGATAGGCTGTTTTAGTTCCGATAGCCAATGCTTCTTATCTCGGCATCAGCTGAGTAGCCGGTTCGGTCTACTGAAGAGGGGAGACAGACTGGTCCCGGCTCTGAGTATCCTATCTTTACGACAACTCAGCGTATTCTAACTACTTTTTGTCCGACGCGCTTGGACATATCGTGGCGCGCCGAGGGTCATGGCCTGGAAGGCCGACAAATAGTGGTGCGAATCAGACCATGCAGTAGATTCTACGTGTGTTTTGTGGAGGGTGGTCGACTGGTGGACTGCGAGTCGGGTTCAAAGGCACCATCTTATAATGCCCTCTAAAGGGGCTATCACGCATGTCAAAGCTATCGGCCTACATGTGCGAAAACTTGGTGTGTCCTGTGGTGCCCAGGTAATCCCCGGCGCACAAAGACGGGCTACTTGGATTTGTTAGTCACTGTGCCAGATTCAAGATCCAGTCTACTTGACTTAGCGAAGATGCGCGTCTCCGATCATAAATGAGAGGAAAAGGAGGTCCCATGAACAATATTTGTATTATCCTGATTATTCAGAAACAGACCAAGTTCCATCGCTGAATATTAGTGTAGTGCAGCATCTCACAGTATTTATGGGCAGTGGCGGTCATGTTAAAACGCTTTTGCCTATGCAGTCGGAGCGACATGGGGGAGGCGGTGGGAAGGAGCTCATGAACACTATGCTGCCAGATGATAGGATGGTGCTTTAACTTTGTTGATCATCATCCGCGCGCACACAGGGGCCGTTGCGAACAGGAGAGGGGAAGAAGGATTACTTCCAGTTTATTCAGTTTATTCGGCAAGGATAATAGGCAAAGCCTTTGAAAATCCTGTTGATTACATGTCAGATAGTTAGAAATAACTGTACACTAACAATGAAAATATTCGCTATTAAAACAGTACTTGATTCATTTGAGTAGCATTCTCTCAGAGGAAATATTTGGGGAGTCGTGGGGTATTAGTCCAGATTCAGACTGTCGAGTAATGCTCTCCGTCTACGTGACTCTCTTCGGGGGCCGGCGTTGACACGTTGATGGTCGTCGTCCGTATCTTTATCAATCTTAAGTGTTATCCGGCATGAGTGCCTCCCATTTGACGATGAACCGGTAATGAACCTGGTTATGCAACTGGACGAGACCTTGACCGAAATGTGAACCAGCAAAGCAATAGGTGAATTGGTACGACTGTCCATTAAACCAACAGACGCGTCCGCAGTAAGTTTCTACGGGGTCCCCTTCTGGGCAATCGTGTCACTACGTGAGGCACCAATATTTAATTCGGCTAAATCACTCTTCTAAAACCTGAAACCTCTCACCCCGGGCATAACCACGGGGTCTGTTAAGGAACTTGATTCCTGGAGCGGTCCAAGGGATGGGACTCACAGGGGACGAGACCGCGGTGTCATTCGGGATCACTTCTTTTTTAAATTCGATCCCACAAGATCTGACAGTCGAACCGTTTAGCGATATGCTCGAGAGTCAGTATGACGAGACGGGAAAGACAGTAAACTGGGGGAAATCTCGTCCAACTACTAAAATTCTGTCTAACGACGTATTTAATCTTTGAGGGTGCAATGTGCGAGCAAGTCAAAAGGACACCAAGGGGATGAGTGCTCCCGGTCTTCATCGCAATAGCCGTTCTCCAAAAAAGCATGGACACTAGTTTGCGCGACCAACAAACCAAAATTTTGGACTAGAGATGTCGATGATACCTTAGTCACCATTAAGCGGGAAAGGGTCCAAGAATCCCATAATGTTCTGAATTCTGTTTTTCCTGATATCCAGTTCACAAAGGAGGCCGAAGTCATGATAATGGTGTAGAAGTTGTTGACAGTGGGGAGAAGGCCATGCACTTGGGCTAGTTCTTCGCCACAGTATTCACTAGGTAAACGGGGTTCCAGAATTAGATTGCCCACAACACTGCTGTAAACGCCGGTCCTGTGCTTGAATTCGCACTCTTCCTGGCATCTGTCGTGGAGAGAGAACTTTAGAATTGCAAATAAGTCTGGTCTTGTGGTCCGGACAAGATACTGGTTAAGTTTTGAGATAATTGGTGGTCTAACTCTCCAAACCACTAGCACATATCTTCCATTCGTCATTTTAATTGGAGAAACTGTCTTCTGAATGGAGGAAAGCCAATATCAACCCGATATATTGGGGTGGGGCTCAAAGTAATGCCAAAAAGTATCGGTCCATCAGTCCAAACTGCAATTGCTGTAAAATAATGAAAACCACACTTAAAAAGGCGACGATGAAGTTCCTGGAGGAAAACCACTTACTTTCGTGGCTCTAGCAAGGTTAAACTCGCGACATGGATGTTATTTACTCCGAGACGAGGATTTAGGAAAACATATAAAGGACTGTTCGGAAAAACCTTCGGGCATTCGTTCGGTCTCACTTGGAGTCTAACGTGCAGGCCTGGCGTCTGTGGCTGTAGAAGGATTATTAACGGTTAGAACGCAGGTTGCTAGAAAGATGGTCAAGAATTTCGGTCGTCTGCTTAACGAGACTAGATCGGTTGAACTTAATTTGTTTCCTTTCGATTCCAGACAACTGCGCGGGGACTCGTTCAAATCTACCGGATTGCCAGAGACCGTGAGTTCGTAGTAGTCATTGCCTCCTATTATTCTGCTGCGTGTCACGCTGCCCTCCTGTCAGCCTTACGCTCCTTATCGAGTCGCTGCTGGGACGCGCGAGGCTTGTCATTAACCTCACGAGCGCTCGAAGCCAATGAACGCTGCCTATCCACTGATTGGCTGGCGACACTGAGACCGAGCGGAAGGCACACGCGCGCTGGGGTCTAAGCACCTGAACGGCGGACACGGACAATGCGACTTGCCTGGAGAGACAGCTCGCGGCGACTGATTGCAGAGCCTTTGTGTACGCACTTTCTTAGCAGTAAAAGTTGTCCAACCCAACTCGTCTTACCAGACTTCTGACTTGGGCATATTTGTTTGTCGACCACACCACTTCCGACAATTGGTGACTCCTTGAGAACAGCAGTCTTCCTTCTTCCCGTTTGCACGACAAGACCACCAACCTCACCCTCCGGGGTATCTCTTCCTCCGAGGTTTTCCATCAACTCTCTGTCCTGGATCCTGAACCCGAGAATCCATCTCGGCAACTCCTCGCCAAATACCCCGGCGTCACTCGTCCCGACTTCAGCGCTACTATTCCACCATACGACCTTGTTCACCACATACGGACCAGTGGCCCTCCTGTGTTTTCTCGGGCCCGCCGTCTCGCGACTGAGCGTCTTGCAGCTCAAACGCCGAGTTCAAGCACATGCTTTAGATGCGCATTATCCGCCTGAAAGCTCATGGGCCTCACCCTCCATATCTTCCTAAGAGCCGCCACTAGTGACTGGCGCCCCTGCGGGGATTGCAGGATCTTGAGCAACGTCACTGTCCCGGACCGCTACCCTGTCCCACATTTTCCGTATTTTGCCGGTGCCCTATTCGGAAAATCGGTGTTCTCGAAGACGGGCCTAGTCCGTGCCTCCCACCAAATTCCCGTCGCCCCAGAGGACGTTTCGAAGATAGTCGTCACCATCCTGTTGGAAATTTGTGAGTTCCTGTGCATGCCATTTGGACTCCACAAAGCTTCCCAGACCTTTCAGAGGTTCGTAGATAAAGTGCTTCGCGGCTCAACATTTGTCAACGCCTATATCGACAACCTTCTGGTAGCCAGCTCCACCGCCGAAGAACACATGGAGCATCTTGCAACGCCGTTTGGCCGCCTTCAACAATTTGGCGTTGTTCTCAACCCGTCCAGCTGCGTCTTCGGTGTGCCCTCCGGAAAATTTCTCGGACATATGATCGACTCCAGCGGCATCTATCCACTTCCATCAAAGTTTGCGGTTATACGTGACTTCCCTTCACCCTCTTCCAAACATCAGCTGCAGCGATTTCTGGGCATGGTGAATTTCTACTGCCGGTTACTTCCGCATTGCGCTGACACCATTCTGCCGCTCGCGAGCCTCCTCTCGGGTCCCAAAGTTTCGTTCGAGATGTCTGCAGACACCCTCGCTAATTTTGACAAGGTGAAGGTTGCTCTGGCCGACGCCACTTTCCTGACGCATTTTTCTCTCGATGCTCCCACCTCCCTCATGGTTGACGTCTCCAATGTAGCAGTAGGTGCGGTTCTCCAACTGCACTTTGCAGGTCACACAAACCCTTAGCTTTCTTCTCCAGGAAGTTATCACCAGCCGAGGCGCACTACAACACATTTGGACGGGTGCTCCTTGCTGTCTTCCTCGCCGTGAAACAATTCCGGCACTTCCTTGAGGGCAGGAACTTCACCATGTTCACGGATCACGAGCCCCTTTCGTTCGCTAAGTTCATATCTGATAATTTCAACCCCCGGGAAATTCGCCAAGTGAACTACAGTTCGCAGTTTACCCCAGACATCCGCCACATCGACGGGTCACGCAATGAGGTTGTTGACGCACTATCCAGGTTCTCTATCGCATATCTCCAACTTTCTTCCGGTATCGACCTAGCTGAGATGGCTGCTGAGCAACGCCGTGTTGGTTTTCCCTGTGACGAGGACGTTTCCGGACTCCAACTTCAGGACCTACACCTGACTACTGGCAACGACACCATTCTATACGGCATATCAACCGCCTCCTATTAGCCCTTTGCGCTGCCGCAAGGTCTTCTCCTCACTGCACAACCTTTTTCACTCTGGGAGTCGAGCTACCGACAAGCTGGATTCTGACCATTTCGTCTGGCCTGGGATGCACAAGGACCTGAGAGCATGGTCACAGACATATCTCGGCTACCAACGGAATAAGGTCCAGTGGCACAACAAGGCCCCCATTGGCACCTTCCCCAGTCCGGATGCACAGTTCAGGCATGTCCATTGAGATATCGTCGGTCCCTGTCTCTGGTCAATGGCTGTTCCTATCTCCTCACCAGCACTGTCAAGACTGACCACGGTGCCCAATTTGAATGTAATCTCTTCCAGTCTCGTCTCTCCTTTTGAGGCTGTACTCGCATCCACACTACAGCCTATCATTTGGCAGCCAACAGGATTGAGGAGCGGTTTAACCATCAGATTTGATAATTTGATAATTTTATTTAATGCCTGTTTACAGGCATTGTCAAGGGAAGCGTTAAACACAAATCCGACCAGAAGTGAAAATAAATTCCCGAGGTAAAGGCATAAAAATATAGTTGATGGTGGTTTTTATAGTTTGGAGGGTTCAGGAGAAAAAAACTGCTGGCGGCATACATTCGACCGTCAAGAAGGGTGAGGGGGGGTTGCACGGTATCGGAAATTATCGGACGTCAATTCCTTTAATGAAGTTGGGGATAGTCAAAGTAGAGGCGTTGAGGAACAGCTGTCGCTGTTGGCCAACGAAATTGTCCATGGTGAAACAGGCCATAGTGTTCAGAGACCACAAACGCCATCGCTACGGTAGAGCGATCAGTGGATTCAGCACCCAAAATTTGTGGGAGCTTTTCTGAATGCCAAAATCGAGTATTAGTTCTCTTAAAAAAAGGATAATTATGCAGATTTTTAATACTCATGGGTAGTTATTCCACCTCCCTACGACCTCCCTACGAGCCGCAGACGATCTGAAGAACTGGATGCACCACATCCCCTGGTCCTGCAGGGCATCCGCTCCTCTCTGAAGTCGGAGCTCGGATGCTCCGCAAGATCAGTAAAGTAGTCCTCTCCTGGTCGATCATAGTTTGGCCTCGAACTCTACGGGATACTTTCCGCGGAAAGCAGACAGATTGGCTGGGTAAATAATTTCCACTGTCTCCACATATTCGGAAAAGACTTACATAATGGAGTTTCCAATGAACTCTGACAATTGTCTCCCTGGTTTTTCATTCGTTAGCCAACTGGTTATTTTCGATGCAACCATGTGGCTAATTGATTGTAAGTACTGACTTTCAACTTCTAAAATTCGATCCAAGACCCTGGCCAATGGTATAATAATAATAGATATTTTTTTTTAAATACGCGCCGGGGTCCCATCAAAGCAAATTAAAATAAATTTGCATGCGAGTTTTAGACGAGGTAGGCCGAATTTTTACAAAATGCTATTCGTAGTTTCTGAATTAGAAGTCCATTGAGAAACATGATGATTGAGGGGTGAAAAAAACTCCTTACTAAAAGTTAAAAATGATTGCATTGATTTTACAGGAGAAAAAAACCCCTCCATAAAAATAATAACAGAAAAAAGCGAGCAGGACTGGCCTGTAGGTGGCCGTATATAACGGAATGTTTTCGGTCATCGTCAGGGTAGCAGTAAATGTCAGCCTTGATGGGTACGAATGTGAGTCAGACAGGACTGGCTTGCAAATGGCATTGTAAACGGGATTCATAATTGACATCGTCTGGGCCGGATTGGTACGCCGCGTCAAAGAGGCCAGACGAGAGGAACCGAGATGCGATCGGCCACAGCACGCTTCGAGCTCAGCCGAGCAGTGAGGAAGGGAGGTACGACCGAACTACTAGTAGACAGTGAATACTGAGGGTTCCGCCGTGAGCGTCGACAGACCGCATGAGGTCGGAATGCGGGAGATGACATCAAAAACCGCGAAAATTGTCGCTATGGGGTGGGGGGAAGGATAGCGATGGATTTAGAAACCAATTCAAAACAGGGGTTTCTAATGATATAATTAAGAGTTACCACTTAATCTACCACTAAATCCCAGGAGGACCCTTCTCGAAGTCAAGAATCTGAGTGTTCGGGAATGAGACCCTTAACAGTGCCTTTATGCTTTCCGGTGTAAGATGGTTGCGTAATTTCGACTTGAATATCAGTAACCTAGGCAATAATCTAATTTCAGGCGGAAGATTATTTCAAAGGAAGGCATATTTGGAAGCAAAGAAGAGGGAGCGCTTAGATGTAGTACAAAGAGGCGGCGGAATCACCATGCAGGAGTTGCGCGTGGCATAAGACCGATCTCTCGGAGTGAGAGTGTCAATGTGCGGAAGACTGGAGCTAGAGTTGATGCGAAAAAGGAAGCAAAGGCCAGCTTCGAGTCTTCTAACCCACAAAAACTTCATGTTCGCCAGCTGACATCTCTGA